AGGGTTGCCAGGTCCCCCCTGGCCACCAACAGGGGATGGGGGGGTAGGGTTGCCAGATCCAGATTGAGAAACTCCTGGAGATTTGGGGGTGGAGCTTGGGGAAGACAGGGACCTCAGTGGGGTACAATGCCATAGAGCCCACCCACCAAAGCATCAATTTTCTCCAGAGGAACTGATCTCTGTAATCTGAAGATAAACTGTAATTCCAAGGGATCCCCACGTCCCACCTGGAGGATGGTGACATCCCTACTCTAGTTTGGTGTAGTACTGTAGTAGCGGCGGACTCTAATCTGGAGAACTGGGTTTGATTCCCCACTCCTCCACATGAAGCCAACTGGGTGGCCTTGGGTCAGTCACAGTTCTCTCAAGAGCAGTTCTCTCAGAGCTCCCTCAGTCCCATCTACCTCACAGGATGTCTGTTGTGGGGAGAGAAAGGGATGGGAAGGAGATTGTAAACCGCTCTGAGACTGTGAGTGAAGGGGGGGTATAAATTCAATTCTCCTCTTCCCCCCAATGCTGTATTTGGGTGTCGCCCTTCAATGGCTTGTCTCTTTTCTCCAAGGACGGGGACAGAGGGTTAGGCTAGGGGAGCAGCAGTCCCAGAGGCACCTACTTGAATGTGGAGTGCTCCAGGGGGCAGTGCTCTCCCCAATGCTATTTAACATTTATATGCGCCCCCTCGCCCAGATTGTCCGGAGGTATGGGCTTGGGTGTCATCAATATGCCGATGACACCCAGCTCTATCTGATGTTGGGCGGCCAGTCGGATTCCGCCCCAGAAGATCTTCACCGGGCGTTACAGGCCGTGGCTGGGTGGCTCAGGTTGAGTCGGCTAAAGCTGAACCCCGTGAAGACGGAGGTCCTGTGCCTGGGTCGGAGTGGCATGGGACTGGGGCTCCCACTCCCGGCCTTCAACGGGGCGCCGTTGGTGCCAGCTTCGGAGGTTAGGAGTTTGGGAGTGCTCCTGGACCCCACCTTAACGATGGAGGCCCAGGTGGCGGCCACTGCCAAAACAGCCTTTTATCATCTACGGCTGGTGCGGTAGCTGGTCCCCTACCTTAGCCGCGATGATCTAGCCACAGTGATCCACGCGACGGTCACCTCGAGGTTAGATTACTGTAACGCTCTCTACATGGGGCTGCCTCGGTCGCAAATTTGGAGGCTGCAGCTGGTGCAGAATGCGGCGGCTAGGCTGGTAATGGGGGTCCCGAAATGGGATCACATCCAGCCTGTCCTGAAAGCGCTGGACTGGCTGCCTATAGCGTTCCGGATTCGCTTCAAAGTGCTGGTGCTTACCTTTAAAGCCCTATATGGCCAGGGTCCGGCATACCTGAGGGACCGCCTTTCCCCATATAGGCCCCAAAGAGCACTTCGGTCGGGGTCACAATACCGTCTAGTGACCCTGGGACCTAAAGAGGCCAGGATTGCTGCCACAAGGGCCAGGTCCTTTTCGGTGGCGGCTCCTACCTGGTGGAATGAGCTCCCGGAGGAGATCAGGGCCCTGCGGGACCTTTTACAGTTCTGCAGGGCCTGCAAGACGGAGCTCTTCCGCCAGGCTTTTGAGTAGGAGCCGCCGCCGCCACTATTACCACCACCGTGCACTGCAGAGCAGTGCCGTCGGGGTGGGCTGATTAGCCAACTGGGAACATGGTACTCCCCCTTTTCTGCTGACCTCACGGGGAGATAGGATAACGAATGGGTATTTTTAACTACCAATGCATCCGGTACTATTGAATGTGTTTTTAAGAGGTTAATTGTGTAATTTTATTGCACTTGTGTGCCTAAATTATTTCAATGTGTTATATTTTATTGCACTGTTGTGCCGTGTAAGCAGCCCTGAGCCTGCATGCGGGGAGGGCGGGATATAAATGAAATAAAATAAATAAACAAATAAAGAGGAATACATACATCATGTCCTCCTGTAATCTCTCAGAGCCTTGAGCAGGCCAGTTTCTCTTCCGCTTCTGCTTTCATGGTTTTGGAATCCTGATTTACAAGCCAGAGTCAACCTACGGTTTGTTAACCTGCCATCAGACATCACAACAAATTGCCATTCACTGAAGACTTCCTGGTTTGTCATGCTAGCAGTGCATTGACTGCAAAGGGGGTGGGTGACTTTGACTTGTTCTGATCACAGACAGACTGAGGTTTGGTTGTAACATAAGCATGCAGCCAAAGACTTGTGTAGTGCATGGGATGTGAGTGGCCAGAGCAACTGACAGACTGGAGATCTGATCACAAAGTAACACATTAAATTAATCTAATGGTTAACAGTGGTGAACTATGGCTTCATTTTTGCTGCTGTTAAAGTGTTAGTAATATAAACTTTTTAAACTTGGGGCCTCCACTCTGTGAGGCAAAAAATCTAACACTCTAGTTTGTTTTTTCTTCTTCACAGTCGCAGCTTGTTGTCCCCTATGCCTGTCCTCTTACTGGGTTCTAGCCCCTCCTTTCACGGTTAAAATTTTGCCTGCTATCAGTAGCTGTCAATAAAAGCATCTGAGACTTTGTGTGTAGAGTAAATATTTCCAACATTTCTAATAGCTGAGGAAGGACTTTTCCCCCCTTCTGAATTAAAATTGAAAGTACACTTCACCCTTAAGCCTGGAAACGTTTTTAACGAGTAACCACCCCCTCAGAGTTTGAAACAATTTAGGTCATCTATCCCAAACCCCGTCTCATTGCTGACATATTCGACTGCAGCATCTTCAACAGACGGCCATTCAACCTCTGCTTAAAGACCTCCAGTGAAGAAGAGCCCATCACTTCCTGAGGCGCTGAATAGCTCTTACTGTTTGGAATTTTCTCCTACCACATAGCTGAATTCTACTTCTTTGTGTAATTTCCGCCCATTAATTCTAGTCCTGCCCTCTGGCAACCATGCCTGGCAACCCTATACCCCAAACAGTGTTCTAAGTGAGATCTGACTAGTGCAGAATTGAATAAAACCATTACTGTGTGTTATCTGGACATGGCTTCTGTCAATGCAGCCACAAACTGCGTTTTTAGCAGCCATATCACACTGCTAGTTCATGTTCCGCTTGTGATCAACACTATAATCCTATGTAGGATTATTTCAGTCTAAACCTGTTGATTTCAGGACCTAGATCCTTTTCATGTGTACTGCTACCAAGCTGTGTCTCCTGCAACCTATACTTGTGCCTTTGATTTTTGTAAAAAATTTTTTACCCAGGTATATTCTTGATCAACAGTAGGTGCACTCAGAACAGTGAATCAAAGATGCAAGCCCAGAGTAGTAATTCATAGAGAGATATAACAGGCAGCTTCTCTGAGAACAGACAAATGCCAGGTATCTACAGTGAGAACGCTGGAGTGCTCCACTCTTATCTATAGGGCAGAATATTCTACCCCCAGCAGGTGGAGATTTAAGCATGCAAAGTTAGTGCAGTGAGCATCCACCTCTGTGGGTGAGTACTGTGAGCTGACAGACACCTCTCAATGTGTATTTCTTATAGCACACTAGTAATTACTCTGCAACACACAACTAGGAGTTACTGGCATATGGTAATGGAATATGCTAAAGAGAAAAACCTGAGGAAAATGAAAATATTTGCAGTTCTCAATAAAAACTATTGAGTAAGCTAGGAAATATTTCTTAACTGCTGTTGAACCTAATGGAAGACATGTTTGCAGTGAAAAAATGCTGAGTCTTTGGAGGTGCCTCATGAAAAATAACATTGAAGGAAAGGAAAATTACTTGCATTTTGTGACATGTGGCAGTGGTTCATAGAATGTTGTTGTTACTAGGTGCCTATCTCTGGCCTATCAGGGTAAACATTGACTGATTAGCAGTAAGTTATACCTGTAGGTGTCACTTTCTCTACTTAAGATCACACCGTTAAGTACTTAAAGTCCTGGCTTTGGTTTGGTATTTAGTATTTGGTGTTTCTCAAACTTTAAGAAAAATCACACTAATTTCTAATCATATATTCCACACCCAGCACTTGCTGCCTAAACCCGTTCTTAGGTTAGATATATCATGATGTCACCTCTGGTGCCATCCCTGTATCCCTTTTTTCCCCTGCACCTGCTTTTTAATTAGACGTCTTTAGACCTGAATCAGACTTGGATTTACATCTCCACAAAGGTCATAAACCACGCTTTGGAAACATTGCACCTTAACTGTTGATGATCCTGACCTATACTACTATTACAGGTGGAAATTAAGATTTAAAGAGCGACCTTAAGTAAGGCAGACCATATATTTATCTATTATTATGGATGTCCCGGCTCTGTTCCAAGGAGCCCCATGGCATGCGGAAGCTGCTCTCCAAGGTTACAGGCATGTATGTGGTCTCCCTGAAATACTGTAATTTGGAGAGGTGAGAAATGGAACCTGGTACCTTCTAGATCAAAGAATGTCTTCTGTCATAAAAGCAGGGTCCTTCACCCCATGCATAACATGGGGTTTACTAGGTTAACTATTCTGTAAAACTGCTGTAATTATTCACAACAGGGCATCTTGGTGGTAGGAAAGCTTAATGATAAAAACGTTTTCAAAATTTAGCACATATAATTTGTCCTTAAGTAGTAATGGGAAAAAATAAAAAAATAAAATTCTGGACTGTTTGACGAAGACAAAAAATTCTCTTCAAGCCCACTCCCCTCCCTTTCAGAATATCGTGGATAAAAACAATAAATTTGGGGATTGGGGAGGGGACCCCATAAATAACGCTTCTGGGATCTCCCCCCCCCCCCCCCCCCGCCCCCGGGGGGTTTCTTCACGGTGAAATAGGAAGAAGGAAATTAAGTTCTTTCCCACATGCTGACTGGAAAAAATGCCTGTAAACGGGTCATTATGCCCGCCCCCCCGCGAAACCGGTAACCCGGACTCGGACGGAGACGCATGCTGGAGCAAGTCACCGCGGGCACGCGGAGAGCCAATGGGAATCATTCTTTTGCGGGGAGCCAATGGGAGAGTTTGTGACATCTCCTGAAGTTGGGGGTGGGGAGGAAACGTTCCTATGAAGAAGGAGGTGGCCCAAGTTGCCCAGAAGGCTCTTGGCTCTCGTTCCAGTGCTCCTGGCGTTAGACTTGCTCTGGCAAGATGACTACTATACAAGAGGGACAGGTTGTGATTGTTGGCAGGTAAAGTCCTTAACGTATTTGAGTACTTCTTGCGCCCAGTGCCTCGACAGAGGAGATTAAGAAGTGATACTTAATATAGTCAGGAACTCTGCTGATGTGTGAAGGGGGTAGATTCTGCCCTGACGGTAGTGTGCTTCCGTTGATGCCTATGGGCTAATAAAAAGCACCTATACCTAACCTTGCATTAGCACTTGATGCTGCTGGTGTTAAATGAATAACATCTGTGTGTGTGAACGCAGGACTAACCTTTTCAAGTCACACCATACCACAGTGGAACAAAAAATTAGTCTTTCTTATAAAACGATGTTGCAGGGGGAAAATGTACACTTAATTTTTTTTAAAACCAAGATTGCATATCTTCAGATGCTTAGACAGGTTTACAAACAAGTTAAAATTATTTCTTTGTAGCAACTTGTTGGCAGTAAGAATGTCTTCATAATGTTATATACAATATATAAAGTTGTGTTCAGCTTGAATAAATATTCCTAAATATGTAGTTCTTTTTGAGTAAGTTAACTGCAGTTGCTCACTTTTTTAGAAAGCAAGCAATAAACCATTGTTACTGAAGTTTATGCTGCAGTGTATCCAGCTGTGGTGTGGTAAATTTTTTAAATGTGTCTTGTGTATGCTTTTGTCTTAAAGTGCTGTCTTATGATCTTTTCATTCGCTTTTTCACCTCTGTTAGTGAGCCAGCCTAATTCTTCAAACAAATAGGCACAAGCTTTTTCTCCACAATGGCTGCCCAAACTGTGCAGTTTAGAGGTGTGAATGTGTGTTCAGAGCATGTGTTCAGAGTCATGTGACTTTGGCCAAGGTAGGAGCTAGGGGCTGCCCTCAGTTATGCATCATTCCCCAAAGGAATGCAGAGGGTAAGGTCTAGCCTTGCCTGGATGGTAGGACCAACTGGCCAAAGAACTGAAACAGCACAAATGGGAACACCTCAGCACAGAGCAAAGACCAATTCCTCCTGTGCCAGAAATGTGTCAACAGAATACACTGTGGGGTTGTGACTTCTGTATATGTGATTAGACATATAGGGCTGCAGACTAACAGGAGAGGGACCTTTTGAATCTTAAGCTGATGTGAAAATGATATTATAAATATTGAGTGTATGTAAGAATAAAATAGTAATGTAGAATTATCTCTGTATTATCAGTAGAATCTAGCATGGCTTCTGTTCAATTAATAACCTGTAGCATATTGTTACACTGTGCTTTTTAAAAAGGTGGCAAAATGCCAAACTAGGAATAATTCATACTATTAAACTAATGTTTCATTTACCAAGGAGTTTATGGTGGGAAAACCTTTTATTTGTTCTTCTGGAGGAAAGTACAATACAGAGTGCTATCAAAGCCTTTTCTAAGCTTCCATATAGTGTAAGAATTTAGTGTAGACATTGAGTGAATTATAAGCTGTATGCAACAGAAGCTGGAGTAAAACTGTCATTTGTCTGTTCTGCATTTACATGGTTCATGATTGCTCACTTCTCAGTTCCATGTGGGCATTTTTCAGGGCAATCCAGTGATCTTATTGGGCTTAATAGATAGCAGAGTCAGGCTGCTCCAGAGCAAGAATCTCTTTGCTTGTAGGATCCACATTGTATTACTGTGGATTTTTCACTTTACTTGGCTACATTTGTAATGTACTTCTGTATATTTTTTCCTGTTATCTCAGTAGCTGCCCTGTTTTCCTGTCGGCTTTCCTTTCCCACCCTTCTTTTTAAAGGGTTTCATTGTCATGGTTCTTCTGTGTGACACTGGTCACATGACATCACTTCACTTTAAAAGGCAATCCGTACATTGAGAACATATATTGAGAACTATGAATGCATGACAAGTCTAAGTGCATCACATTTAAATTATAACAAAGAGAGGCTGAGGTCACACATACTAAATAATTGACTTTCAGTGCCCTTTCCAAGTGAATTTTGCCAGTTCACACAATAAAACAGTTTGAAAGTGGATTACATAGTGTGTGTAACCGCAGTTTAAGAAATGCTTCCCTGACTTGTTTGATCATTCTGAAACTATGTTCATGCATTCCAATCCTTGGAAATTTGAGCCAAGGCCTGAATCCAAAGAACTGGACAACTGCTTCTGTGCACACACACACACCCAGATTTGAAACTGTGTTAGTCAAACAGAAACTCCTCATTCAGTAGGGCAGACATAACTTGAAATGGATGGGAGTTTAATAAACAGTTTGCGATATGGCATAGAAATCTGCCTTGGGAATGCCCAAAATACCTCTCTAGATCTTGCCTTAGACTCATTGTTTAACTGGAGCTTCTAAAAGCTTGAACTAAAGCTTGTAAATGGTAGCTTCTTGTGTATGATGAGTAAATCTTCAGGCAGCCACGGAAATGAGATTTGGTAAATTCAGTGAATTGTGTTCCTTCAAGT